TAATACAGTAAGGTCTGTAGGGTGAGAAGGAGAAAGCAGAATGTCTTGGTTGCTGTGTCCAGAGATACTCAAACCGCTGCAAAGATTTCCTGTCAGCAAGACCTGACTCATTTAGTGTCACAGATAGATGGCAGGTTTGACCTCACAACTAGTTGTGACTCCAAGAACAGCATTACACTTTTTCATGTGAAAGTGTATACTGATCCATCCTAATGGATGGAGCACTACAGGCCGAGACCCCAGATGCCATAGGCCTCGACTCTGTAATTTTTCCAGCCTAAGTGCTAGATGGAGGGTCAATCTTTTTCACAATTTTAATGCAGGAAAACAGGAAAGGTTGGTACTGATAGTTCCCATAATTAAAAATTAGAATCACCTAATCATCCCACACTTAAAAATGAGAATCACCTACACTGAATGCAGACACATGTCCACATCCACAGAATTAGGACCCGGACACTCTATTTTTTTTTAAAAAAAAATCTTTTGGAATCAGACTCCAAATCACCTCTAATCATCGGCCATCCACCCCTATACTCCCCATTCAAAGCGTTAATGCCATGCTGACCTCCTTTCTGCGCATCAACTCTTGTAAACTTTATTGGGCAGCAATGGGCCCTTTTTAGTTTGGCTGAGAGTACTGAAAAGCAAAACATCAGCATTTATTCTGCGTTCTTCCTTTCCTTTTGTAATAGTATCTTCTGGCTTCTTGTGTCAGGAAGTATTCTGGGAGAAAGAAAGATGGCCAATGATTACAAGTGATTTGGAGTCTGATTCCAAAAGATTTTGGAATAATAAGTAGTCAATAAAATAAACTGGAGGCAGGAGATAGATGAAATGGAAGGGAAATATAAATCTAATGTAATTTATACATCTCTCTTTGCCTTTCTCTCCTTACAATCCATCCCTGCTTCTATCACATCTGTATACCCACTTTGCCTTTTGTTCTTTAAACTCTGTTTTATTTTTTCATGGTAATTTTATTAAAAGTTACAATTAAAAAGATAAAAATGAATACAAACTAAAAGAAAAAAATAAGTGCAGAAATGAAAAAATAGAAAAATACAAAAGAAAGAAAAAATAAGAATATAGTAAAGAAAAAGAAAAGAAATATATAAAGAAATGGCTTCCCTTTCATCACAAGTATAAACAATTTTAGTAACTTATCACCTCTTAAAGTACAACAAATGATTTCTTCTTCCCATATCCAATCTATCTATAAACAAACCCTTAAAATCTCATCATTTCAGTGCTCATCAGCAAAAGTCCATTAAGGTTACCAGAGATAACAACGTAGCTATTTTAACCTTGATAAAATAAACCAACTTTATATTCCTTCCTTTTACTTTTAACAATCTTGATCTTTAGTCCTTTCAAATAATGCACTTGATTTCTTTTCATATCATTTCAGTGCTCATCAGCAAAAGTCCATTAAGGTTACCAGAGATAACAACGTAGCTATTTTAACCTTGATAAAATAAACCAACTTTATATTCCTTCCTTTTACTTTTAACAATCTTGATCTTTAGTCCTTTCAAATAATGCACTTGATTTCTTTTCATTTTTTCTTTGCCCTTTCTCACAAAATTATTCAAAGCTTATTTAACAAGTCTCTCTTGAAAATCCAATATAGGAAAATTATCCAGGTCACTGTCTTGGCTTGTTATTTGTCTAACCCTTTTAATTATTAAGACATCAGCCAGTTTCTTTTGTATGTCCAGTGTAGCATCTTTTTCCATATCATTCTTGTAGCTTACCATTTTTAAATCTATTTTCAGATCAGTCTCTCCCTGTTCCTCTTTCATGACACAGTGTATCTATAGAGGCAGACAGTCTTAAAATTAACTTCTGAATCCATTGTTCAAAAATATCCTTCAGTATGTCCAATGTTAAAATATTTTGCTTCATTGTGTATTAGTCAAATTTAAGTGTTTTTCTACTTTAATTGTAATATTTAGTTACTACTGGTTCCCTCTAGTGTCCAACTTGCAAAGCCTCATTCTGTCATTTTTTTAGGAGAATTCAAAACAAAAGTATTTTCCCATGGGATGGATTCTTACAATTAATTCCAAACTCTTATTTCAAATCCATCTGGACCCTTAGTCCATTTATAACTTTCCAAAATCAAAGTTCTAATCACCTTTTGCTGTTTATTCCAAATGAAAAAAAATTAAGTCCTTAAACTTGTATTTAAAATTTCTCAATTAATTCCAAACTCTTATTTCAAATCCATCTGGACCCTTAGTCCATTTATAACTTTCCAAAATCAAAGTTCTAATCACCTTTTGCTGTTTATTCCAAATGAAAAAAAATTAAGTCCTTAAACTTGTATTTAAAATTTCTTTCACTAAGGATTGAAGGAAACTCACCTGGTACAGTAAAACTTGTTGATCCAAAGATTCCTAATAGCTGAAAAACAGTTAACAAGCAATTTCTGAAAGTGATTAGAAAAGGAAGTATGGAAACTTAGTGTCCTTTCAAAGGCACTGATCATGGTTTGAGCAAAAAGATGGCTGTTTTCTCATCTCCCAGAACTCTCACTAGACACCTCTGTCTTTG